ATCCCTAGGGCTGGTGTGGCTACAGAAAAGAGACCGAAACAGGAATTCTCTTTGTCCTGAGTCATAGCTGTGAACTTGACTGATGGTTTTTCCTGCTGTCAGCACTGCAGAGCCAATGGTGATTTCAGAAGAGTAAGCTGGTTTCTCTTCTGCTTCTTGCACATTGACAAAATAACATGCAAAGTTGTGATTCCAGCATGACTGGTGATGTATGAAATGAGAGGTACCGTCGCTGCAAGCTGAGGTGATCTTGTTTTGACTTTAAACAATGCAAATGACATGCAAGCAGTTGAAGGAGAATGACAAAAATAACAAGCTTGTGGTCAGTGAACAAACTGAATAGTCCCAGCAGACTGACTAGTCCTGGTCTTTTGTGCATGCAAAGAAAGTTGATTTTAATTCTTCGTGAAAGTAAGTTTGGGATTTGCCCACTTAATATGAAGTCTTTTTCCATTGGAGCCAAACAGATGCTCAGGAGAGAGTCAGGACAAGAACAGCAAGAGTTATCGTGGATGAGGAGAGAGAGGAGATGGGGCTCAGGTGATGACTAGTGAGGACATTGCCCATAAGAACTGAGCGTATTCGCTGGGGCTGCTGAGGGCAGTGTCCTGGCACACGTGAGGGACACCAAGGACACAGCAGCTAGCTTTTAACGGGGACTCTGCTGTATCTGCTGAAGTTAAACACGTCTGAAGAAACCTTGATACATTCTTTCTTCCCTCTCGGGCGGTTTCACTGGTTTCTGTGTCAAATCTTCCATAAGACCTAAACTATGTAGATAATAGCGGGGTCCTTTATTCCGAGTACAGGCTTGTAACGGAAATAAAAGCAATACAAGTTCTCCCAGCAGCAGGAGGAGTTTGCCTCATGTCTCTTGTATCACTGTCAGGTGTAATGAGATAGTCCTGCCTGGATGAGTCCTGGTGACTGAGTGATGACAAAAATCTGCATGGATTCTGGCTCACAGAAACATTGGGGTGAAAATCTCCTTCCATGTCTGGAACAGAAAGGTTTCCTTAACGATTAAACTTACTGCATGTGCCCACCTCTTCGCGAAGAGGGTGGGCGGTCACTGGAACAGGCTCCTAGGGAAGTGCTCGGGGCACCAAGCCTGCCCGAGTTCAAGGAGCATCTGGACAACGCTCTTAGTCCTGTGGTTTAGTGGTGGGTGGTCCTGAGTTGGACTCAATGATCCTTATGGGTCCCTTCCAACTTGAGATGTTCTTTCCATTGCTCCTTTAACTTAATTCTTTGATACCGCGCTAGTACCTGGCTTTAATCTTGGCGTTTACAAGTAAATAACCTTGTCCTTTTGCCTTCAGTTTGCCTCCCTGTCCCCCCTCCAACAAAACCACACAAAGCTTTCTCCAGTGAGCATCCCCCTGCCCAGGAGGCAGCAGAGCTGTTCCAAAATAAACGATGTGTCTTGGCGTTATCTTGCCCTTCTCTTGTTCTTCAGAGTTTCAGGTAAACTTTCGGAAGCGGTACTTCTTGCAGACTCACTTTGGGTGTCTCTCGCAGACAGGCTGGCCGTGCTGCATCCGAGGCACTGCCTTGCCATAACGATGCCCCGTTAAAGAAGCAGGAGCTTGATTCCTGCGAAGGTGGAACGCTGGTCTGATAAAACATGGGTTGATGCAGCCAGGCTGCAAGGCGAGCGGTCTTACTGCTGTGCCCAAGCTGCTCGCTTGAATTTCAGGTGATCGGGCTTGGGACGGCGGCTGCCTGTGCTGCAGGGGCTGCTTCCTGCTCAAGTGTGAACTGAGGCAGCGGCTTATGGAGAAAAATGTATCAAAGGAATGTAAATTACTTGGTCTTGAGTAGAGGATACGCAAGTGATGGGTGCAATGTTCTCTTAGCCTTGAGATTAAAGGGTTAATTCATGTTTTAAAATCACTTCTGAAACAACTCCACGCTGCAGATTGTTGGGGGCGCGGAGGAAGGGGGTGTGGTTGGGGGATAGTTTGTTTTTTACCTGTCCTTTTTTCAAATTGCCTCCCTAATCACCTTGCGTTGATCATGATTAGATGTAGCAGCCTTGGCCAGGTGGATCTTCACTTTGAGGTGTCCCCTTTTTTCCTACCCCATCAGCTTTAGATAATGGAATCCGAGTTCTAAGGAAATCTCTGTGTTCAGCGGTTTGCTTTTCTTAGCAGGGGCAGTAAAAATAATGAATGCACTTGAAATTTAGTTGATGTTGGTTACGACTGGAAGCTGATACAGAGCCAGTTTGATACGGAGCTGGTACGGAATGGTCAGGCACCTGCATTCCCGTTGGCCCCATGACACCGAAATGCCGAGCTTCAAATAAGCTGGAAATGGAGTTCTTCAGAATTGTTTCTGGGAGCGCTTCCGATGGGTGGAGGACTGGTGGCCTCCTGCCCTGCTGTTGCTGGGGCAGATCCAGTCCTGCCGCCGACACAGGCAGGGCTGCTCGGAAAGTCCCCTCCATCTGAAAAACAACCACCGCACCTGTGAACTCTCCAAAGCAGTTTGGAAAAGGCGAATTTCATAACAACCAAAATATACGTTCCTATATGTAGTCATTCCTTTGATATTTGCAAGACTCTTACACATGCGATCAGGCAAAAAGGCAGAGGCTTGCCAGGTGGATGTGGAATTAGCTGGGAAAGAAAGTTTCAGGATCTGGCTTACTCTCCAAAAATACTCAGATTTTGGACCAGAATTTTGCCTAGCGTAAGTGGAACTGCAGCATCTGGAAAGACATACTATTTGCTTCCCCAAATGCCAGGCTCTTTTCCCAGACAAACTCGCATTATGAATATGCTCCATATTTTAAATTATAGTAAAATTACGTGGTGTACAGCAAAAGAAAAACAAAAAGCTTGTGAACCCTTTGAAAAACAATAAAAAAACCCAGCAAAACCCTAAACTTGAATTCCCAAATCCTTCTCTAACGTGTACTTACTTGTTCCCGTACAGGGCCACGGGATGCAGTGAGGTCTCGGTGTTCCCCACCGCTGCCTGTCCCTGTGATCAGCCGTTCTGCCGCTGTGTTGCAGAGACTTCATGCCCGTGTTCTGTCAAAGGTACCTTAACCCCTGCAAAACACCTGGACGAGCGAACACGCTCTGTGACCGGCGGTGGACGGCCAGGATCAGAACCAGGCTCACGGCAGCCATCAGATTGATGTCACCTGGAGGGAAGCCCTCTTCCATTGCCCAGCGGATTCTGGTTGGTGAAGAGGGATTGTGTGTGGCTCGTCCTTCGGTGACGATGTCAAGATGAGCGTCCTTCCAGCCCAGGGAAGGAAGGACCAAGCAGTGACAAGCGGTCAGAAATCAGGCTGAGCAGTGGCTGGCTCAGTGAGCTCCATTTGGGCTCCTTCAGACTTTCATTACAGTAGAGTTCAATTTGCTGTGCTAAATTTGTGGTTTAAGGTTAAAATTATTCATGTTGAAGTGAAAACGTGTGGGGAAAATAGACGTATGTGCCAAAACTCAGGGCCAAAGAGGATTGCATGCTCTGCTCCACTGTCATCTTTTTCACTGGGTTGATGTTGCGGACGCATAAACTTTTCTTTTACAGGGACCCAAACCAGGAAGGAAAAGTGAGGTTGTTTTAAGACTGAAGACAACCAAAGCGCTTGGAAGTCATTCCCCCTAAGCCAGGAAGGCCAGGTGAGTGTCTCTGCTCAGCCTTGTGTAACTTAGTCATCCGTGCTGGCTGGATTTCATCCAGGTTTTTTTCAAAACTGGATTTCATCACCTGACTGTTAGAACGCATCTTCTCTGCGCAGCACGTAAGTCAGCTGCTCCAGCAAGGTGAGATGGAGCCCACAGAGATCCACCGTGTTGCTGTAATTCAGGGTGTCCGGGTTTCGGCTGGCAGAGTTAAACCACGCCATGGGGTTAAAGAAATGCTGAGTGTTAAGCAGCGTTTAGAGTTTTGTTTCCTACAGGGGAAGGGCCGCACCTTGGTGGACGTGTTGTCCTTTCAGTGCACGTACTGGTTCGTGTTAAATCTTATTCTGGATTCCTGGGTTAACTTCTTAGACCTGGCGTCATCCAAGCTCTGCTTGATTTACGGTGGTTCCACAGAGGTTTCCACTGAACTCCAAGCTCTGGATATACACAAAACCAGAGGCAGTTCCCGTCCCTTCGAATTGCTCTATATTTAGGATTTTCTGAGAAACCTGAAGGCACTGAGCAGCCTCGATGGACTCGGGAAGGGGAACCTGGTCGCCTAGTTCTTGTTCTAACCCCTTCGCTTGCCGAAATAACCCCAAGTACCCTGACTGTCTCTGGAGTTGTTCCAAAGGTCAGCAGCTTTTCAGCATTTCTCTCCCAGTTTCTGTAGCCAGTTTATGAAAGCAGGAGGTGATACAAGCCTCTGTAATGTGAATGCTGAGTATGCCATTTATGGCAATGAGGAGAAAACCAGTACATGTAGCTCAAGCTTATGGCTCTAGCTCAAGTTTACAGCTCCAGCCCAAGCACTACCAGGGGGAGCGGACCCCGCAGTCTCACTTACCCTGATTTTACACGGGTGTTTCAGGCTCTCATTGCTACCAAGGCCAGATTTGTACAAAATTCTTTAATCCTCCTCTCCCGCCCTGGCTTTCCTATGGGAACAGTCCCCTGAGGAAGGCCATCCTGGGCAGCAACGTGGAAGGCGGTAATGGTCAGTGGCACTGCGCTTGCTGAAGCGCTGTGTGCATCTGGGTTGCATCCTTGGGCTGGGGAGGGCAAGAGGGGAGCAGTCTGGAGCAGGACAGTGCTCCGCTGACCCCAGCAGCAACTGCAGCGTGTGCCAGGCTCCTGCCTTCCTGCCTCGTCTCCTCCCTGCTGGGGATGAGCTGCGAGAGAGTGAATTTCACCTGATTTCAACCCAAATGACTTTGATCTGCTAGCAGAGGTGTACTACAGGGTGGCGAAGAAGGCTGTATGCGAAGTGAGCTCCATTCCTTCGGGCTGAATAGCGCGTCCGTTCTGTGCCGTGAGTCAAGCTGTGAACAGTAATCGGTCTTCAACGAGTCAATGCTGCGAGCTGTTGACAACTCTGTCCCTCCAGACTCCTGCGCTGGTGCGGGTTTACCAGGGAGCCACAGCCCCGTCGCCTCCTCCCGTCACGCAGTCCGTGCCACCGTCACGCTGTCTGTGCCGCCGCATCCTGCGCTCCCTCGCTGCCAGACGTCGGAGATCTCAGAGCTTTGCGGTCGCCAGCGAGGGCAGGCCCCGTCCTCCGTCCGCACGTTGGTCTCAGCGTTGTTTTTCCAGCTGGAGCGGCTGTGGCAGACGCAGGCGAGAACGTAAGAACGTGCAACAGGATGGTGGCAGCAAGACAAACAGAAACCACATCCCGATGCACGGACATGTTTTAGCCCTTCTTGTAACTGCAGTAAACCTGCCAGCGTGAGGCTTAGTGCTCCTCATCCAGAGATCTCAAAGCACTTCAAAAAAGAAGCTGATCCGGATTTGTCCCCGTTTTAAAATCTGAGACTCGAGGCACGGGTAGACAGAGGGAAGTTTTCCGCGATTCTCCTGCAGGCCACTGGCAGAGGTGTAGGGACGGCAGTTCGGTCTCCTGAGCCTCAGCGTACCCCTCCGTCCCTGGAACCTGCATCTCTCTGGGGCAGTCACAGAATGGTTTGGGTTGGAAGGGACCTTAAAAATCTTCTGGTTCCAACCCCCCTGCCATGAGCAGGGACATCTTCCACCAGTCCAGGGTGCTCAGAGCCCCATCCAACCTGGCCTTGAACCCTGCCAGAGAGGTGGCAGCCACAGCTTCCTCGGGGAGG